TAGGCACCTGCCTCAGGCTGTCTAGACTCACTGCTCCCTCAGACTGCAATTCTCTCTTTTCAGGTATCTGCCCAGATCAACTCCTGGTTTCCTTAGTCTCTGCTCAAATGTCACTCACCAGTGAAGCTTTTCCAAGTTCGCATACAATAAGTAACAAGCACCTGTCATACCCCTACCACGCTGGATTTATCTCTTCAGCACACACTCCATCCAACAAGGCATAGATTATCTACGTGCAGGCCTATTATTTACTTCTCTCTAGAATGTCAGCTCCACGAGGACAGGAAGTTTCTTGCATTCCTATCTGATCCCGACTAGCCAGCAAGTGGTTTGGTGTAGTTTCATAACTGGAACAAGGTTAGCATTCAATAAATAGTTCTTGAGTGAATAAACAAATGACTGAAAGCTACTTTAGGGCCATGTTAAATATCCCAGTTTTCCCATATGAATGGACAAGGCAGCCTGGCTATGGGAGGACTCAATGGGTGAAATTTATGAAGACTATCAGGTGTCCTATCATGTTCAAACTTGTCCACCCAAGGCAGCTGGCTTGGCACTGATGACATGGCAAGCGTGGGATGCCACATAAGAAGAAACATTTTAAAAGAAGACACAGAAATTATGTGGGATGGAACATCTGGTTTTTCAAATCATAGGGAATATATTACCTTCTGAAGTTTCATTGCCAAGAGCAAATGTTATTAAGATGAAGCTACATGACCATTCCTGTCAGTAGTTTTCTCACATCGCAATTCTTTTCAAGGGCACAGAACCAATCTTATAAATGAACTGAAAACATTTACTGAGAGACAATATAGAGGAGTGGTTAAGAGCCTGAATTCTGGAACTACTGCTTACATTCAAATATCAGTGTTGTTATCTCCCTACTTTGGCAAATTATTTCATCCCTCAGTGTCCCCTATGATCAGCTGATATAAATAAGGTACTTAAGAGTATTAAGATCAGCTGATATATGTAAAGCAACAAAAGAGTATTAAGCTTGTTATTATTTCTATTTTTAAAACATATGAGAACTATATCTTCAAAGAAGATTTACCTCCTCTTCCATATTAATCAACACTAAAAGAGCACCCACTAGAAGAAAGCACTGCAACAGGTACTTAGACAAAGGTAAATAAAGACTGGTTCTGCCTTTGCTCACAACTTATCAATGATCAGGAACATTCTGGAACTGATGTGACAGAGTTCAGGTGTCTAAAAATGGGATATGGTCACTGTACAAGGAAGGGGTTTGCTGGTCATGTACATCCACAGTACAGCTCTTCACATCACTTTTAAGGCTGAGCCTAAGGGAAGGGCTCATTCTTTGAGCTACCCAACATAAGTCTCCCACCTGTTCAATATACTTCATTCTGAAAGCTTAACATGCAATGCTCGATTCCGCCAGTGAGCCCGCAAGTCATAGCCTTAACAATGAGGCGGTCCCTGTCTGCCTCTCATGCCTCAGCCACATCACCAACTAACATACTACGCCTACCCCTTGCATCTTCCTATAGAATTTCAATCATGTCAGACTGTCACATATCATAGTGACTTGCACAAGCTGCTCCCTCTGCTGAAATGATGATCTCCTTTGCTTTCTTGAGTTACCTAACTTTAACTTGCCTCCAGAATCAGTTCCAAGGGTCTGCTCCTCCAACACATCATGCTCAATCCAAATCTGATGGAGGGGATCAGCATGTATCTATTACAAGGGACTGTAATTGTAATCTTGGGTATCTGCATCTTCCACAGGTTACCCATGCCCAGAAGGCAAGGTGGTATGTTATCTGTTTTCTTTATAAACTCTGTCCCCAAATGAAGGGCCTGAACATTGCAGGAATTTGGTAAATATATCACTAGGGACAGTTGAAGGATACTGGTAACCTCATTCTCATGTCTTTGCCATTCAACCTCAGCCCCCTTTCAAATGATCAAAATACTCCTTAAAAAGTTACTAAAATACAAAATATTAACAGAGGAAAGTAAAATTTCTTCTTCAGGGAAGCTCATGTTGAGCACCTATTTAACATGGCAGCCTCCCCCACACCTAATTCTACAATCCTGGTCTCCAGCACCATTCTCCACTTTTTCTTATTTTCCACATAAACTGTATCACTAGGACCTTAGGACTATTCTGCGTGATAGATATTTTAATCCCATTTTCTAGGTCAGGAAATTGAGCTGAGTCTAAGTCATCGGCACATGTGAACACAGGCAAATGGGTGGTGGAGCTGAGCCTTCATTTATTCCCCAAGAGCCTTCGGAAACTGGTTCTTTTCAGTTTGGCTGGGTGGGTCTTCAGAAAGATGACACTTCTTGAATGTTACAAAACCTGCTTTCGCTCAATCTTTCTAATTAGCCAAACCAAGAAATTTCTTTAATACGTTCAATAGGAAGTCTGTGCAGCCAACACAAAAGTGAGAAAGGAAAAACAAATGAAGGATTCAAAAAAGAGCTATGGTCTGGTTTTGGGTTCAGAGAAGCTCATGATGTTCAGGCATAGTTTGCTGGTTTTAGAAAATATGTAAATTCTGCTAAATGTGAGCTGAAATCTGTGGAGATCAGGGGGACATTTATATTTAGTTCATGGTTATGTTTAAAAATATTTGTGAATATACTAAAAACCCATTGAATTTTGCCCTTTAAGTGGGTGGCCTGTATGTGAATTATAACTCAATAAAGATATTATTAAAAATAATAATATTTGGGTTTGATTCAGATCATGATCCATTAGAAGGTTGTTTCAGTTTATAGCTTATGGGTCAGCTTGGGTTGAGTTATATAAACAAACAGGAGGTTAACAGTTAACAGAAGAAAAAATGTGGGAACCATTTCAATATTTGACTCAGAGATTATTATAATAGGCTGAACAAAGGACTTTTCTTAAAAGCTAGAAGTTACTGATGAAATTCATAAGGAGCCACAAAAACAAAACAAAACAAAAAGCTGTGAATAGCCTAAGCTCTCCAGAAATAAAAAAGGAGAATGGAGCTATCACACTCCAGACCTCAAACTGTTCTACAATCCCATAATAGTTAAAGCAGTATGGTACTCGGAAAACAGACACGCAGATCACTGGATTGACTAGAAAGCCCAGAAATGAAGCCACACATACATGTACAACTAATCTTTGACAAAGGAACAAAGAATATGCAATGAAACGAGGGCAGTTTCATGAATGGTGCTGAGCAGATTGGCCTACCACATGCAAAAGAATGAAACTAGACTACTACCTCACACCATGCACAAAAATGAACTCAAAATGGATAAAATAATTGAACATAAGCCCTGAAATCAAAAAATATAGATAAAACATTACGTGACATACATCGCAGTAACATCTTTAAAGATTCACCCCACAAAGCAAAGAAAGTGAAGGAAAGAATAAACAGCTGGGATTATATCCAACTAAAAAGGTACTATGGTGATGGTGCATGGGTGACTTGGTGGTGGGAATTCTATGGGGGTTACACCTGAGAGATGAAAGCAAACATTCTACAAAAATGAACAATGATGTAAAAAATAAATAAGTAAATAAATTCTAATATAAAAAAAGTTAGGAGTTACTATCACTGAAAAACGAGGTTTTCTAAGTGCCATCCAAACAAGCAAAGAACAAGCTCCTAGTGGTTCATGATATTACAGCACTTAAGGATTTTGAGTCACCCTGAATTTCTGTTTCTAAGCTATTAAAAATATTTCTATATAGGGCCCTCACTGGTGGCACAACAGGTTGAAGCACAGCATTACAAAGCTAGCTGCAGCTACTTCATGCATTCGATACCCGGCCAAGGAGTTGACCCACATGGCACAGCAGACCTCTCCTGGCCCGCCCACTGCTCGCCTCAGCAGTGTATTCCATTGATTTGCCTGTTCTGCACCCCCACTCTGTCTCTGGTGAATCCTCTCACTGCCCCTGCACCTCTGGCCTGTACCCTAGTTCTGTATGCATAAATTAATAAATCTTTAAAAAGAATATTTCTATACATTGAAACAAACAAACAAACAAAAAAATTGAGGCTCAACATGGCCAGTCCTAGGATATAGAGTATTATATAAGAGCACATTTTTCCAAGTTTTTGTTCTGGTGAAGTTATATGCTTTTATGTGAGAAATTTGGTCTCTTGTAAATAAGAAGATAACATGAATTGTGCTTAAACACATATTTAGAATTTATAAGCCAACTTCTTCCAAAAAGGATTTATGATGGTCAAATGTCCTGGTAATAAAAAGACTCCTGGCAACATGTTAGTTATTTTCCTATCCTCATCTTTAAATATCAGAGTGCCTAACAGAGAATAGATGCTCAACATATATACTAATGTACTGATGAATAATTAAGCACAAGGGTCAAGACAAAATTTAAGACACTAGAGAAAGATATTTATTGGGGCAATAGCAAGATACATATTTCATTAAATCTTAAGCCAGTGCCAACCTCTTACATGGTTATGGGTTGTTCACTCATCCTTTATCTACCATGCACTAAACACTGGGTATAAAGTGCTGAACAAAACATGGAACTTAACTAGTTTGTTCCAGGAAACAACCGTGGGCCCCTGAACAGCCCTGGGCCCCTGAACAACCGTGGGCCCCTGAACAACCCTGGGCCCCTGAACCTGTAAGCAAAGAAGGCCAGAGTATCTGCCTATGATTTTTCTGTGAACAAAGACTCACAGACGGCCCACAGACCCAGGGTAAAGGTCCATTTGCCCTTCCTCAAGGTTTCTACGGTGCTGTTAGTTACCTTGACATCTTCATGATAAACTTTCTTTTATTGCTTAAGGTAGGTTAAGATGACCTCTTGTCAGCTGCAAAATTGCAACTTTCAATATACATGAGACAAATGAGATTGAGGTTAAGTAACTTATACTCTCTCAATGGGAGGTAGGAGTGGATCTGGAATTAGAAACTCAGATCTCCTGACTCCCAAAACCAAGCTTTATTGTAAGTCCAAGTAAAAACAAGTTTTAGAGAAAGGAATCAGCATACAGTACCTCATGAACCACGGAGCCCAGGAGAAAGTCCAGTCTCTGGCACAGTTCTCCGAGGTTGGATAAGCTGCTGGCCCTGTGAGCACTGTCTGGATCCCTGGCTCCCCTCAGGAAGGTGTGGAGCAAAGGTTCTCGGTACTTTGAGACCATATCTCCTATAGAAAAAGGGAAGAAATAAAAATCTTTTGCAATAAATTTGCTTCTTGAAGAAAGAATAATGGTATAATCATGGTAGAGTATGGTGTCTTATACTTTTCAAAGTATGTGCATAACCACTAAAAATACTGGAAGGTGGCCCTTCCTGGTGGTACAAGGTGTTAGGATGCAGCACTGCAAGCCAGTCACAGCCACTTCAGTGCGAGTTTGATGCCCAGCCCTGGGGGTGATCTGCATGGCATGGCAGACCTCTTCTGACCTGCCTGCTGCTCCCCTCAGCAGTATACTTCGTCGACCTGCCTGTTCTGCTCCCCACTCTGTCTCTGGTGAATCCTCTCACTACCCCTGCACCTTTGGCCTGTACCCCAGTTTTGTATGCATAAATAAATAAATCTTTTTAAAAAATGGAAGGTTATTTAGTCTCAGGAAAAATATCCATGATGCATTAAATATTAAGCAAGCCGAACCTGATTTACTTGAAAAATCTACATGTGAAAATAGAAGACTATAACGTTAATATCACATTTATCTCTAGATAGTCAGGTTATGGAAAAAAATTTTTAAATTCATGATAAATACACACACACATATGAATATATCTACTGCAAATACATACCTCAATAAACTCAAACTCAATACACCTGTCATTAGCTTAGGTGACACAAATAGCAAATGTGGCCATAGGTTATACCCACCATGAGCCCTGAACTCTCTGACTCTATCACCCTTACTTACTCAGACAGCAAACTGAGCAAGAATTATCATGGTGTTTTGAGTCCTTGTGAAAGAGATATTAACAAATCTACTATGTGCTAAGCACAATCCAGATTCTTGGGGTATACCAGTGAGCAAAAGAAAAAAAGAGTCCTGCCTTCATGAAGTTTCCATTCTAGTGCAAATTTTTTTTTTTAAAGATTTATTATATTTATTCGTACAGAACTGGGGTACAGGCCAGAGATGCGGAGGGTGAGAGGATTCACCAGAGACAGAGCGGGAAGCAGAACAGGCAGATCGACGAAGCACACTGCTGAGGGGAGTAGCGGGCGGGCCAGGAGAGGTCTGCGCGCCATGTGGTCACCTCTGGGGCAGGCGGGGATCGAACTCATGCGGAAGTGGCTTTGGTCTCTTAGTGCAGTTCTTTAACCCGCTGCGCCACCAGGGAGGGCCCTCTAGTGCAAATTTTAAAGAATGTCAGAAGTGTCAGAAATGCCACGGGGCCAGGGATGGAGTAAAGCAGAGGAAGAGAAATGAGTGGGGGCTGGGGGGTGGCAGGCAAAATTTTTGAAAAGGTGGCCAGGGCAGGCTTCCTGGAGATGGTGACAGTTAAGCAAAGATTTGAAGGTGATGTGGCTATCTGGCAGAAGAGACCAGTCACTGTGGAGGAATGCCTGCTGTGTTTGAGGAACATCATGGAAGCCCATGAGGAGGTAAAAGGGGCAGGGCAGGGCTGGGATGGTGGCACAGGTCTTGCAGAGAGTTCTAGGCCGCTGTCAGATCTTGAACTTTTTTTTTTTAAATAATTTTTTAAAAATTTATTTATTCAGGCCCTCCCTGGTGGCGCAGCGGGTTAAAGCACAGCACAGAGAATCTAAAGCTGCTTCCGCATGAGTTCGATTCCCGCCTGCCCCGGAGGTGACCACATGGTGTGGCAGACCTCTCCTGACCCGCCCGCGCTCCCCTCAGCAGTGTACTTTGTCGATCTGCCTGTTCTGTTCCCTGCTCTGTCTCTGGTGAAGCCTCTGACCGCCCCTGAGCCTCTGGCCTGTACCCCAGTTCTGTATGCACAAATAAATAAATCTTAAAAAAAAAATTTATTTATTCATACAGAACTGGGGTACAGGCCAGAGATGTGGAGGGTGAGAGGATTCACCAGAGACAGAGCGGGGAGCAGAACAGGCAGATGGACGAAGTACACTGCTGAGGGGAGCAGCGGGCGGGTCAGGAGAGGTCTGCTGCGCCATGTGCATCACCTCCGGGGCAAGCGGGGATCGAACTCATGCGGAAGTGGCTTTAGCTTCTTAATGCTGTGCTTTAACCCGCTGCGCCACCAGGGAGGGCTAGATCTTGAACATTGTTTTAAAATAAAGTGAGAAGCCTTTGGAGGTGTTGAGTAAAGGCATTTAGAATGATGACTCTGGCTGCAGTGCTCAGAACACTCTGTAGGGACAATGTGTGTGTGAAGTATGGTTATTACAAATGAATCCAAAATTTAGTTTAGCAATTTCTGGTTGTTAGCAAGAAAAGGAAACAGAAGATAAAGTTCTCATTCCTAAAAAAAGAAAGAACATCATTTCATTAGGCGAGAATAACATCAGAAAGAACATCAGGCAGTCTCTCATTCATTCATCCAGTAAATCTTAATTGGACATCTACAATATTCCAAGTACATCCTCAGTACTGGAGATGACACAGCATGAACAACACAGCAAAGCCCCCCTCTTCATGAAGTGAAGATCAGGGGAGAAAGACAAATTTTCTGGCAGTAATAAGAGCCATGCAGAAAAATAAGGAAGGTGAGGATTGAGAATAAAGTGAAGGGTCAGGGAAAAGCTTTCAGAGAAAATCTGGAGGAACAAGTCATGTGAAGACCTGGAAGAAAAGAGCAGAATGGATGTTTTATATTCAATGTAGAAATCATATGGTTATACCAGCCCACCATAAAAGTCAAGGGCATACCACTACAGGTAACAACAACACAATATTTTTTAATGTAGTAGTTTATTTTTACATCATTTTGTGCTTTTTTCCATCTCAGTTGTAATCCCCATGGGCTTCCCATCACCAAATCACCCATGTGCCATCACCATAGTCCAGTGCACACCCACCTCCATTTTTGATCCCACCCCCCACTTCACCCCCATAAAATGTCTCTGGTGTATAGTACATACAATTTAATGCTGTTTATAGGAATTTCTGCCCTGCCTTAGTTTCATTACCAACTTCAAAGTGAGCATCCATGGAACTGCTTCCTCCACCAAGCTCATCCCCAAATATATCTAAGAACCAAGAGGAGCCAGCTGACGGGCCGGCGTCCTGTACCCTGTCAGCAGACTATAGGGTCACATGCTACCTTGTTTTCCAGGAATTAGACTGGGAGAACACTCACTGCACTCACTTTCCATTTTTCTTTTTATTTTAAAGATTTATTTATTTACACATACAAGAACTGGGGTACAGGCGAGAGGTACAGGAGATGAGATGATTCACCAGAGTGGGGAGCAGAACAGGCAGATTGACTGAAATACACTGCTGAGGGGAACAGTAGGCAGGAGGGGTCTGCTGGGCTGTGTGGGTCACTCCCTGGCCGGGGATCAAACTCTGCGGCAGTGGCTGTGGATGACTCCACAGCTGCACTCTAACCCCTCGCACCACCAGGGAGGGCCCACCTCATTTCTCAAAGTGCCTGCCACCATGTTCTCTGCAATCTGATGGTCCCAAGACCTCACACAGTACCAAGATTTGTCACTCTTGCTCAAATCTGGTCTTCTTTGGGGATTTCTACTTTCTCCACTTCCTTGGGGTGTTGCCAGCCTCTGACTAATCCTCCTTCCTCCTAGCTTTACCATACATTATGACTGGTTTTCCAACTGGAATCCAGTCCAAGCTGGAGACCCACCCTCACCAGGTTTGTGAAGAACAAAATGAATGCATATAGTCAAAGAATATAGTATTCAGGCTGCAATTTAAGTCTGAATTTTAGGGAACCCTATATGTCCAATTTTATTGTGTACATCTCATCAGGTTTTTCCATTCTTCCTGGAAAATAGTACTTCTATTGTGTCAAGTATCCCCCTCTTGTGACTCAGGCTAAGGTCTTCATTGTTCTAAGTGAATCCTGCGGACATGTCCCCTTGCCTTAACTGGTCTGGCGTGGGCAGGGATCAGGAGATGAGGCCAGTAGGCTGAGGTTAGAGCAGAAAGATGAAAAGAATGAGTCCTGAATAATGTCATGGAGCTAAAGAATTAACCTAGTCTTGCACAATTCATTCCTTATTATTAAAGCCAGTTGACAATTTCTGGTACCTTCCACATTCTACTGATAACTGAAACAACCTGAAAACTAGAATGCTCTTGAAAACTGTATAGCAATTTGTATGTTAGTTCTTTCGATAAATACAAAACCAGGAAAATTAGATTTAACAAAACAAAGGAATGTAAGATAGTATTTGTTTTTAAAAAGGATTTTTAAATATTTTTTCTTTCTTCTAGTTACAATTTTAACTGTAGTGATAGCCTGGTATATAGTATGACTTATTTTATACACACACACATGTAAAATGGTACATATGTATATCTTTTTAATATATGTATCTTTTTATATGTTCATACATTTATATCTATATATATGATCAATAAAATCTCATTACCCCATCCTATCAGGGTTTAGATTTCTGGCTGGTTTTCTCTTTTTTGCTTTACTAGATAATTTCCTTTATTTTGATCAGATACTTTGATTGCTTTAGTTGAAACCTATTTGAACCCAAGGTTCCAGATCTTAATCTATTTTTTTTTCCTGAAAAATGGTAGACATTCCCTAACAAGGGAAAGCATTTATTACAATCCTATTGTTTTTTTTAGAATATGCATAGTATAGGGCTTTACAAAAAAAGGTATTGATTTCTGAGTTTCCTCACCCCCTTTTTCAAAGCGTCCTCCCCAGAGACTAGAATATTTAGTTTTAGAGACACTCATGGCCCTGAAGTTAAAGAGACCATCATCTGCTCCTCAGGTGTCTTAAAATAGTTTCAAGGAAATAGACATGCTAAATCCAAACTCACTTTTAGAGCTTACTCAAGAAGATTCTAGTAGGCTGAAGATTCTTCTTTAGCTCTGTTTTTTACTGGGTGCAATGACAAAAACAGCACCTGGCTATTTGCATCTCTATATTTTGCCTAGGAAATCAGCAATAATCAACCTTATTGAGAAGAAAACATCTACGTGTTCAAGGAAGCAAGGGAGGAATCTAGATTTGTGTGCACAAGCTACATAAAAATGAGTA